GCTTTAGTCTCAGTAGCACCAAGCCACGGCTCACCCGAGGTATAGTACATGTATATGATCTATATAAATATTGCACAACTATCTGCGACAGAGGAGATAACTCTGATTTTAATCTAGCAAGAGTTGAATATTTTTATCAAAGTTAGACCGTCGGAAACATTCCTTTTAATTAAATGGAAGAAAGTTAATTTTGTATGAACTGTTTTAACATTGTTATAAATATTATCAGTTAATTGAGTTTATAGAGTTTTTGACATGAAAAAGAAGAAAGAATTTCATGCGTATTATTTTGGTAAGTTGGATACCTGTTTTCAGGAGACTGACGTCACCTAACAAACGAGCACACTTGATACTTTTGTCTCATCGGTGTGAGTTTATCGGTGTGAGATAATTTTTTTATCAATGAAGTATTGCTACTTAAACATGTTTAACAAACCACGGCTCAACCGCTTATCTAAACTTGAATTTTTATATTTAAATGTAGGTTGTATGGAGTAGTTCAAGAACCGGAAATACAAATGTTGCATTACTGATAGTTTACTGCTTTAAATACAAAGAAAAAATAAAAATAAAACATTCAATGCAGGTTTTAATATCTAATTTATGTTTTATGTAAACATCAGCTGCGATGATGATTTGCTTTTATCTGATATGATTTGAAAAAAAAAAATAACACATTCTTTTTTTAACATTATCAGCTGACATCAAAAATAAATTTCAATGCTTTTCTCCTTTTATATGATTGATAAAGATAGTTTTAAAGAACGTTACACTTAAATATTGATTGCTTTAAAAATATTTAAGAAAATAAAATGTTGAAATAAAAGGATATTAATTTACAGCATAATCGAACAGGTGCCAAGAAATTGATAATTATAAAGTTTTGCAAGAAGAAATGATAAAAGGATGAGTATCAATTTTGGCGAGTTGGATACTCGTTGTCAGTAGACTGACGTCAGCTGACAGACGAGATGTTGCAGATGCTTTCGGCTCATTTGCAGTGAGGTGCTCAAACCAACACACCACGGCTCACCCGACAAATGAATATTAAGATATTTACATATTTGATTGTGATCGTCTGGGGTGGTGAAATAACCGGAAGTACAAATGTTGCATCAGAATTGCTAATTCGAGTTACATGTAGTAGAATTATACATGTATTATATAATTGCACTTCGAGAGGCTACTGTTGTATTTGATAAAATATGTAATTTTTGAAGGATACAAAACATTAATTGAAAACTAAATGCGACGATCGCAACTTAAATTAAATTCCTGACTATTAAATATTTGAGATGAAACATGTTGTACAAACTTTTTAATTAAACAACGGCACGAAAAATAATATATTGAGGGAAATTTCTCATTACATTTTCAGAATAATAATAAATAAGAATTTTGTCTTAAAAAAAGAACATGATTTATTATTACAATTAAAATGCATTAACGAGAAAAGATTGAAAATTAGAACTAAAATTCCTATATATCTGAGTATTTCCTTTGATTTTTTTTTTTGAAAAAGGTAAGTATCCTGTTAGCCCGGTGGATACCCCACATCCATGAACAGAGGCTCATGAACATAAAAAAAAACACATTCTTTTTTAAAATTATCAGCTGACATCAAAGATAAATTTCAATGCTTTTCTTTTTTTTATATGATTGATAAAGATAGTTTTGAAGAATGTTAAACTTAAATATTGATTGCTTTAAATATATTTAAGAAAATAAAATGTTGAAATAAAAGGATATTAATTTACAGCATAATCGAACAGGTGCCAAGAAATTGATAATTATAAAGTTTTGGAAGAAGAAATGATAAAAAGATGAGTATCAATTTTGGCGAGTTGGATACTCGTTGTCAGTAGACTGACGTCAGCTGACAGACGAGATGTTGCAGATGCTTTCGGCTCATTTGCAGTGAGGTGCTCAAACCAACACACCACGGCTCACCCGACAAATGAATAAGATATTTACATATTTGAATGTGATCGTCTGGGGTGGTGAAATAACCGGAAGTACAAATGTTGCATCAGAATTGCTAATTCGAGTTAGTAGAATGATACATGTATAATATCAATGCACTTCGAGAGGCTACTGTTGTATTTGATAAAATATGTAATTTTTGAAGGATACAAAACATTAAATGAAAAATAAATGCGACGATCGCAACTTAAATTAAATTCCTGACTGTTAAATATTTGAGATGAAACATGTTCTCCAAACTTTATAATTAAACAACGGCACGAAAAATAATATACTGAGGGAAAATTCTCATTACATTAGCAGAATGATAATAAATAAGAATTTTGTCTGAAAAAAAGAATATGATTTATCATTACAATTAAAATGCATTAACGAGAAAAGACTGAAAATTAGAACTAAAATTGCTATCTGAGTATTTCCTTTGATTTTTTTTTTTTTGAAAAAGGTAAGTATCCTGTTAGCCCGGTGGATACCCAACATCCGTGAACAGAAGCTCATGAACATGGGGTTAGATCTAGCTGCTTTAGTCTCAGTAGCACCAAGCCACGGCTCACCCGAGGTTTAGTACATGTATATGATCTATATAAATATTGCACAACTATCTGCGACAGAGGAGATAACTCTGATTACAATCTAGCAAGAGTTGAATATTTTTATCAAAGTTAGACCATCGAAAACATTCCTTTTAATTAAATGGAAAAAAAGTTAATTTTGTATGAACTGTTTTAAGATTGAGGTAAATATTATCAGTTAATTGAGTTTATAGAGTTTTTGACATGAAAAAGAAGAAAGAATTTCATGCGTATTATTTTGGTAAGTTGGATACTGGGGTTTATCCAATATGGATAAACCTGGTTATTTCGTGCAGCTTAATGTTTTACATGCAAAGATAGATAACTCTTAGTTTCTTAACATTGAACGTCATAAATCATCGGGCTCGGTGCTTAAAAAATTCTTGATATTTCTTGTATGCGCATGTCTTCTAGAATATTCCTTTTGAATCTGTAAATTGAACGAAGCAGACGCAAAGATTTTTTAAAACCCATCAAAAATAAATTTCCCTGCTTTTCTCCTTAATTTTATATTTTATCCCCCTTTAGCACCTCTGCCATTTTTCTAATGCATTTTCATTATAACTGTTTTTTCCGGTTGTTTTTTCGTTTTCTTTTGATTTCTCGTTTCAGCGTCATGGCATGGATCGGATCTTGAATAGGATCCACCAGCTTGTTGATGTGCTTTGCGGACCGTCGATGTTGATGTGCTTTGCAGACCTTCAATGTTCCAGTTGCGTGTGGCTATTGACTTTGTTAGGCATAATTTTGCAAAGAATGCTGTCTCGGAAATAACCGGAAGTACAAATGTTGCATCAGAATTGCTAATTCGAGTTAGTAGAATGATACATGTATAATATCAATGCACTTCGAGAGGCTACTGTTGTATTTGATAAAATATGTAATTTTTGTAGGATACAAAACATTAAATGAAAAATAAATGCGACGATCGCAACTTAAATTAAATTCCTGACTGTTAAATATTTGAGATGAAACATGTTGTCCAAACTTTTTAATTAAACAACGGCACGAAAAATAATATATTGAGGGAAATTTCTCATTACATTTTCAGAATAATAATAAATAAGAATTTTTTCTTAAAAAAAAGAACATAATTTATTATTACAATTAAAATGCATTAACGAGAAAAGATTGAAAATTAGAACTAAAATTCCTATATATCTGAGTATTTCCTTTGATTTTTTTTTTTGAAAAAGGTAAGTATCCAGTGAGCCCGGTGGATACCCCACATCCATGAACAGAGGCTTATGAACATAAAAAAAAATAACACATTCTTTTTTAAAATTATCAGCTGACATCAAAGATAAATTTCAATGCTTTTCTTCTTTTATATGATTGATAAAGATAGTTTTGAAGAATGTTAAACTTAAATATTGATTGCTTTAAAAATATTTAAGAAAATAAAATGTTGAAATAAAAGGATATTAATTTACAGCATAATCGAACAGGTGCCAAGAAATTGATAATTATAAAGTTTTGCAAGAAGAAATGATAAAAGGATGAGTATCAATTTTGGCGAGTTGGATACTCGTTGTCAGTAGACTGACGTCAGCTGACAGACGAGATGTTGCAGATGCTTTCGGCTCATTTGCAGTGAGGTGCTCAAACCAACACACCACGGCTCACCCGACAAATGAATAAGATATTTACATATTTGAATGTGATCGTCTGGGGTGGTGAAATAACCGGAAGTACAAAAGATGCATCATAATTTCTAATTGTAGTTAGGAGGATTATACTAGTTTATGTGAAATATATTAACGCAACGAGAGAAGCTAATGTTGTATTTGATAAAATATGTAATATTTGAAGAAGAGAAATCATTAAATGAAAATAAAATGTGACGATCACAAATCAAATTCTTGACTGCAACATATTTGATGTGAATCATGCTGTTCAAACTTTGAAACCACGTCAACAAAAATAAGATATATTGGTGAAAAAATCTCATTACGTTATCAGAATGACAATAAATAAGAATTTTCTCTGAAAAAAAAAAAACTAAAATTTATAAATAAGAGACATTAACTAGAAAAAATCAGAAATAAAACCTCTATCTGAGTTTTTTTGAAAAAGGTGAGTATCGAGTTAGTCTAGTGGATACCCTATATTCATGAACAGAAGCTCATGAACATGGGGTAGATCTAGCTGCTTTCGTCTCAGTCGAAGATTCAATCTTAACCCACCAAGCCACGGCTCACCCGACGTTTGGTAAGTGTATATCATGTATATAAATATTGCACAACTATCTGCTACAGAGGAGATAACTCTGATTATAATCTAGCGAGAGATTAATGTTTGTATTAAAGTTAGAGTCCCTTGGAAACAATCATTTCACTTGAAAAAGGAAAGTCAAAACATTTTTGAATTGTTTTAAGAATGAGATGTCAATGAACAACATCTAGAATTATTTTTTTTGTAATCTTTATTCCTCAAAATCATTAAGATGATTTCAACTTGTACATGTACAGTGTATTTACAATGATGTGTGTTTTACAACATTTTGTAGCTTATATCAGGGACCTATAAACTTACTTCATACTGCATATAAATGTATATATATATATTTTAAAGAAAGATACAAATTATTCTTTCTCAAAGATAAATAGTGAAAATAATGAAAATTCAAACAAGAGTCAATCTGTGCCCAGTTAGAACGACTTATAAGTGATTTGTGTGTTCAAATATATGTATAGTTTTATTGCCTGATAATAATACGAGTATTCACATTTTTAAGTAGTATACTTTCTTAATTTGATTTTAATCTTTCACATCATAGAAGATGACTGTCTTTCTCCGTTTTAATTTTCTTATATAATACATGTACATTTATAGACAATAATTCAAAACAGAAAATAATAATTAAAAAAAAGGTTTCAAACCATATGACTCAGCAATATTTTGTTATAACAAATTGAAAGAACAAAAGGGTAAGAATAATAAACATGGTCCCTGCATTTCCGACCCCTGAGTTTTCAATAACGAATTGCTTTGGTTCAATCCTATCAGACTGCAAACGATTGACTCCTAGTTGGGGTTCTTCTTCCTTTGTGTTCATACTATTGTTGCGATAAAACTCTAAAGCCAAGTTTCTACATTCAGGACACTCTGAAAAATTTTGCACATGCGCCAATAACCGGTCTCGTAATTCTCCTCTAGAAGGCAATGGAGGAGGCGGAGGCATATCGAGCAGTAATTCAACAAGACTGTCTCTGTTCGTAGTCTCTTTTAAATTTTCGTTGTTGGATACGGACCCCGATATACTTCCTTCCTTTTCCTTCAATTCAAATCGTTGTCCAATTAAGCCAAATTCTGTTTTATTTATTTTTGGCGCAGGCGCATCAGCATCTTCTCCTGTCTTTGTGACTTCCTTTCCAATAACTTCAAACACCAATGAATTTTCCGGAAATATTTCTGGAAGGCGAGTACTTGTACATGTATTTATTATCCATTCATTTCATAAACAGTCGAGCCTATTGGTTGTGTTATTCTGCTTTTAGATTAATGTATTCATTTAAAAAAAAATGCATTCAAAATGCTCTTACAGATAATCAAAGAAATTGCATTTCTGTTCATTATTGTTCGAGGTGGCTGCCTTTATACTTGTACTTGTAATGCGCAGGATGCACAAACGATTCTGTTCAAAATAGAATTTCGTATTAATGTTATCGACAGTGTACAGTGCAGTGTTTCGTTAGCATATATTTCTTTGATTCACAAAATAATTTCACACATTTACATGTACATATAGGTTTATTAGCATTTCATCGGTATTAATATTAACTATAAATAATTACAGATGACAGTAGGCATAAATATTATTGTGAATAAGATATTAGCTAAGAATTCGGAATACTAAAAAATTAAATCATCAAATGGTTTTACATGTAAAATTGTTACCACTGCGAAAGCCATTTTTAACCCAGGCAGAGCCAAGTTCAACAACGGTTTTCTCAGGCGAACAATTTTCCATGTTACCTTACGAACACTTGTATATGTATTTTTCAGAATGCATGTGACAAACTGTTTGCACAAAAAATTCAGCGTACTTTAAAATTCTTATACTGTTCACTGTCGCCATGCATCTTTTGATCATTTAAATTTTGAAGTAATGGTGCCCAGATTGGAGTGATTTATGCACGCGGTAGGGTAAAAGTAGTTTTAAACAATCATTTTTTATAAGACATGAAAATATAACAAGATTTTATGGTAAATTATATACATGTACTCTTCAAATATATCCATTCTTTTGCTAAACTGACAATTTGAAAATAATTCATAAATCATAACGTCACGGTTAACACAGACAAATAAATTGTACATAGATGGAAATAAAAATACAATTTTAATGGAAAAAACAATCCATTCCTTCTGTTTTGATTTTTTAACATTAAATTTATAGACGGTTTTGCAAAATTTTAAGTGCCCCTCTACATAAACGTAATTATCAGAGGTATATTTAGCTATATGGTTCATTGTATTAAATTTCATGAGTAACTAAATATACCATAATTGAACATGTAAACATGTACCAGTTCTGATGATTCGTTTTCATTTTTTGTATACTAAAGGTGTTCTCAAAAATATACGTGGTTTTAGAAAGAGAAATCAGAGGCAACATACCTCACTAGTATGGGAAATATCTATTAAAAGAGTCTAAAAGTTTAAAACAAACATATCTATCTTCTTATATTTCACAGAGCTATCAGATTCAATTCATGCAATCTGGACATACGAGGGCTGTTCGGAAATTATTGAGACAATTACATTTACTCCATAAAGGACGGAGATCATTTCATGAAAATTCATCAACATTTTAGAAAGAACGAATAAAACACTTCCGCAAAATTTTTAATTCCCATGATAATAATAAAAGTTTTGGTGAGATGATAAACATGCATATTTCTATCGACCCGGAGCAGCAACGCTACGTCATTTAACGTCACGTCAGCCAGAGATGGTTTCTCATGTAAAACGATAGTTTCATATTTCCTTCTTAAAGTTTGTTATTACATGTATAACATTACAAAAATCATTCTCTTTTCTTAAAATATTTTTTTTAAATATATACTACTGCTACCCCAATGTAAAATTTTCATTTGTGGCAAAGGATGACTTAGAATCATGCAGTGCCGATTTATGCAACGCGGGTCAACGATATCAATACCGTAAAGATATTAATAACTGATGGTCGTCCGGAGCTTTTGGTTTTACTCTGGATAAACTAATTGTAAAAAAAATGTAATATACCAATGAAATAACAAACCCTATCACAATATTTTTTCTCGTTGTTATTGTTTTAGCAGGTCGTTTAGTCTGGAAAAGTGTTTTACAAAGCATATTACAAAATTAAAGGTTTGCTGGCTGCTCCGCTCTTGACGTCAAAATCCATTTTTTCGTTCTCAGCAGATTTCTCTCCCGCACTTAATTTTTTTATGATCTCCGTATTTCTGATCAAAATTGTAACAAAGTTGCACAACATGAATTTGAAATTGAAAAATTATACACATAAACTGAGTAATTTTCGCTCTTATTATAGGTCCACGAAGAGTTAGAACGTTGATGTTACATATTTTCAATATCTGATTTTGTGACTGTTCCGGGTACCTCTACTATTGACGCATTTATATATCATTGTACAGAAAATATTTAATATTTGTAATATATTTTTTGCTTTTATTAATTTTTAGTGTATGTCAAACGTATATGCAAAAATTCACCGAAATACGTTTATTAGAAAGCAAAATATTCACAATATCTCAAAAATTTTCGAACAACCCTCGTATATTTTAATTTAGATTAAATACACATATGTAACTTTGCAAAAAATTGAAGAAAAAGTATGAAATCATGCACCAAGTGAAGTGAAATTACCAACTATGGAGGTAGAACTTGTGTGATCAAATGATGGAAATTGAACATGATGATCATGTACATATACTTCTTTTGCAATGGATTTCAACTTTCCTCAAGCTTTCCTTGTACACCCCTTGGACATGTTGACACATGATAAATTGTTAAAATATATTAGAACTATTACAATTTTATTGTAATTAATTTATAAATATAATATTTTCTTAAAAATTCTTAAATTACATAAAGTAAAAAATATTCCTGTTAAAAATCCAGTAATATATTACAAATAAACTAGTTTTAACACAGTCAAATATATATGTATACATAAAGTAATTAAATTAAGGTGTTGTAAAAAAAAATCAACAAAAAGTGTCAATATATCTCCATAGTTGGCAGTGTTGTGCAGAACTTTCACTCAGAAACAACAATCGTGGAGTGCGGCAAGGTGAAGTGATAAACCTTCGTGGATTATTTTTTAGGTATGTCACCTCTGTTTACATTATCCCCACTTATTTCAATGTCATCATCTGAAATATGGAATAATTTTAAATTCAGTTGAGTGTCTAAGCAAAGCTTCACTTGAATAAATAAAAAAAAAACCTTTGAAATGAAATCAATCAATGAAAGTGAAAAAGGATAAACGAGTTGCGAATGAATTATCTGGCCAAATGAATGCAGCTTTGGTGTGTCTGCTTTCAAATAAAACTGCAATGCCAGCATTTATGTGACGAAATACTTCTTCACGAAATTGAATTTACTTAGTTATTGAGAATAAGCTGCCTTAGTACTTGAAGAAAAACGTCAACAAAGTCTTTTTTTTGCACACATGTAAGTATTTGTCTTCCTTACCGCAGTCGGCTTCGTCACTACGATCTGCACATTCCGGTGTACCGTTACATTTGGCGTCTGATCTTACGCATTGACCGTTGTTACAAGCAAACAATCCTTCTGGACAAGTCGGTCGAGTTTTACCTGAAATGGACATATTGCATTTTTTTAAAAAAAATCATAACGTTTACGTAGTGAAAGACGTAGAACAAGCACTTCGGAGCAACACGTTTATAGAAAATTCAATGTTAGAATTTAGAGAATGACGTCATGTAGCCCTACATTGATCACTGCGCAAAATCTACAGTGTATGCCACCTATGTGATACTTTGTATTTTTTTTTCCTAACGTTTCAATTGTCAAGGAACATGGCTTTTTATGACTGAAGCTCGAAGCTTCTTTAGTATAACAATTCAAAAAAAATTTTCAGCCAATTTTTCTAGCAGTTTATCATTGCATATATAAATCTATGAACAGACACGGTTGATCTTTTTTGTAACGTCGTTATGTTTAAAGTTTTGACGGCTATATTTCGAACTCCATAAACACATTTTCGTCAGTCACGAATTTATTTATTTTTAAAATTTAAGGTGAAAAAACTGACCACAGAGATCTGGCGATTCGTCTGACTGGTCGTCACAATCGGCCAGACCGTCACATACAAATTGCGAGGGAATACATCTAGGATTAGTGCCTCCACATAGATGCTGGTCTGCTGCACACTCTGTAAGAGGTAAATACTCACTTTTTTAATTATTAAAATGGTGGCAAGAACTTTCCTTCATGTAATTTAAAACAAGCCTTTAAGAAAAATTATTTTTCAAATGCTTTCAAAGACATTATTACAAATAAACTACAAGTGTATTCTTTATTGTTAAAAATTAAGATATCATAACATATAGACAATGTCTTGTAAACCATCGATGAATGGATTTAATAGTTAAAGCATCAATTTGAAAATGAGTGTTTCAAAATATTTACTTCAGAATTAACAAAGGTCTGTAGGTAATGGTGTGGGGTAGTTCCAATCTGATTAAAATACAGATCTCTACATTAGCGCAAAGCTCAGATCTCTACATAGCGCAAAGCTCTGCACTTTTAATCAGATTTGGGTAGTTTATACTTACGAAATTGTGTTGTAGTAATTAAAGGCGTAGTTGATGGAGCACAACATATTGCTACTGTTTTCTCTAGTTCCTGAAAATCGAGGGGGAAAATGTAGCATAGAAGAAACAAAGAATTGTTCGATAATTTCCGTATTTTTTCTTTATGTAAGGGATCTTTTATTCATGTACACAAAATACATGTATATAGGGATAGTTTCACTGTATATTATAAGCAACTACTTTGTCTCATTTGAATCTACAACTTCTGTTAAAAAAATACAAAAATTACAATTATCTTGAGCTCTATATATTATCGGAGTAAATAGTTGTTTCAACCTGAGTTATTCAAAGAGGTGCTGCTTTTTACATGTATTATCACTCATAAAATCGCTTACCTCAACGCGGTTTACCAAAAGTTTATATTCAGCAACTGAAGAAAAAATATCCATAATTGTACATCAATCCATAAAATTAATGTCTATGTATAGTGTAGTTGGAAGTTGTTTTAAAAATTGACGCCATTTTGAATCATGGTATTGTTTTGGCAACTGAAGGGAAGCAATCGCCAAAAACAAAATCTGAACAAATATAAAATGGTTGTATATGTCGACTTTGTGTACACAGATTAGTAAGTAATACATACATGTAGCCAAGTATTATAAATTATTACTCAATTGCATCGATTTGCAGTTTGCAGTTGTCTAACTCCATGACAAATTACAATTCTAGAAAAAAAAACATTGTTTGCAGGTAAAACCAATACAGTTGAATTGTGTTCTCTCTCCTTTTCAGATACAACAGTTTTAATTCTCAGATCATAAAAACTGTTAACAAACCTGAAATAGGAAATTGTGAAATCTCCCCTTTCTCGCCCGGGGGACCGGGTAATCCTGGGTTACCGGGACGGCCGGGTTCACCGGTAAGTCCTGCTTTTCCTGCGGGACCCATGGGTCCTGGGGCACCAGGCAATCCTGAGTCCCCTCGCTCGCCTTTTGGACCAGGTTGTCCATTTCTTCCAGGTGTTCCGGGAAGTCCATCAGCCCCTACAAAAATGAACTCACCGTGGCATCATGAAGAACAATTTCAAATGGCATTAGTACATGTAGTTAATAATTTAGTCCGTTGATTACTTTTAGCCTATTACCCTGTGGGCCTCTTTCTCCGGGTAATCCTATGTCCCCTGGTTCTCCTTTCACTCCAGGGGTTCCCGGTCTGCCTTGTAACCCCTCAGGCCCCGGGGGTCCAGGCGGACCCGGGGGACCGTCTCTACCGGGTAATCCATTCTTGTTTTCTAAATTCTTAAATGAGAAGGCTGAATTATAAGGAATATGTTTATGATATAAAAATTAAATAAAAAAATTATACCCTGATATACCCTTCTTAGGTTTTAGCTGATTCAAGATGTATTGAAAACAACCACTTGAAATATGTTTTAAGTTTACTTACATCAATTTTTTCTACTAGGAACGTATATTGATCAACTGAAAAAAGTAAAAATTAAGGAAATGAGTAGTAAGAATTTAATTTGCTACTGGTAAATGATGCTTTATATATCAGAATAAAGCGTAACTATACAAAATTTGAAAAGAAAAAAAAAAGAACGAAACTGATATAAAAATCTCAAATATGCAAGAAATTCAACCACAAATTTCATTTACTGATACTAAAACATCAGGATCATTAAAAAAACACAAAAACGTAAATGCAATAAGAAAATTAACTAAATGATGAATATCTTTATCGAAAATGAAAAAAGACCATTTTTTTTGTTTTTATGGTAGATTAAGACTGTATTTTCAAATAAAAAAAATTAAAACACACCAGTAATTCCATCACCAGCAGGGTCCCCCTTGGCACCTTTTTCACCTGGCACCCCTGGAGGGCCCCTTGTACCATCCAAACCTGGCAGTCCCGGGGGACCGCTGGCACCCATCGGGCCGGGGTCTCCTTTTCTTCCAGGTCTCCCTGGTTCTCCTGGTAATCCGTCATTTCCTCTTTCACCTGTAAATCCCGGTGGACCTGAAATATACACGATAAGATAAAGTGTTTTATTTCTTAATTAACTTTTAAAAAATATTTCAGGAGCCATCGTTATGCAATTTGCCAGACCACATATTGCAATGCATAAAATAAAATGAAATGATTGCGGGACCACCACCAGAATGGGCACTTTTCAACACCTGCCAGGTGGGCTGTTTTTTTGCAACTTGATTGAAAGATACAGTGCTACAAAAACTGCAAATTCTCTCGTGTATTCAGGCTTAGTATAAATTCGACATCGTCATCTGACGAATGAATTTAATGCCCTGTTCACACGGAGAGTTTAATTCGAATTAAACGTAGAGTTACTGCGAATTAGCTTCGCTTAGCGTTCACACGGAGAATTTAATGCGAATTAGTTTAATTCGAATTAGTTTACTGCGTGTGAACGCTAAGCGAAGCTAATTCGAATTAAATTCTGACGCATGCGTAATGGCAAAATTTAGTCAGATGCCACTTGTCGGTGGTCAGCTATAAGTACTTGTGCTATTTTTGAGTGAAAAACTAAAGAGAATTTGGTTAATCATTAAAATGTGTATACAGACACTTTGCCATTATGTCAAATGGATCTGCTTCTGCATAAGGTGACGTGATTTGCAAATGACGTCATAATAGCCGTGCTGACGCCGGGCTGCAGAAGTAAAATTTTAATTCGAATTACTTTACTTCGCATTAGCTGTCGTGTGAACGCAATTTAATTCGTATTAGTTTGATTCGAATTAGTTTACTTCGCATTAATTTACTGCGAATTAAACTCTCCGTGTGAACAGGGCATTAGATAATGATAACGCACTCATTATTATGTTCAGTTAGTTTGAATTACGTCCCTACAGTAAAATTGATTTAATAACAAAGTCAATTAATGCATGATACTTTTTTCGGTTTTACAAATAAAGGGACATTGAAAACCCGATAAAAATCTTCTTACAGAGAAAGTGTTCACCGTATATTGCTCTAATTATAAGGGTGTGATTTTGTCCTTTTCCAATTTTATAGAAATACAATCTACCAGTAAATATATTGCAGTTATCATTTGATGGTCTTTTCTCTCATCCTGCTTTCAAGCGCAATTTGTTACTCTGAGGCTTTGAAAAATATAGCTTTTAGGTGAAAGATTTCTTTTCTTAACACCCTAACCGTGTGATTTAAGTACGTATTCAATACAGACCTGCTACCCCAGGGTCACCTTTTTGACCCGGTAATCCAACCAATCCTGGTTCACCTTGTGGACCACGTGGTCCGGGAGGACCTGTTAATCCACGCTCACCTTTTTCTCCTCTTCCAGTTATTATAGTCTACAAGTAAAAAAAATTAATGAATTTTGATGCATAAAACATAAATGTGCATGTAAGTTGTATTAAAAAAATACGATTTTATTCATGGACAAACTAAAACTTACAGTTGTGTTGCCTCGATTTCGTATTTCTCGTTCTAACACTGATACTTGTTTGGTTAATTTGTGATACTGATCACATGTAAAACAAACTGAAAATAAAATATATTTTCAATTTACTGGGAGAAAATTTCTTAAATCTGTTCATATAAAAAACGAAACACATGAAAAACGATTTTAAAAAGTAAGGTTTATTTTCAAATAAAGCGATTTATGTTAAAAATTTCATGTATGTATTTTTGTGGATGTCAATGTGTTTATCTTTTTGTTATTTTACAAAACCTTAATTTGTAAACCCGGTTCTTCAAGTGACCAAGTTTTACCGAGTCCATAAATTTTGTCAAGGCCTTAGCTGTTTTCAGCCAATCAGATTGCCGCGCAAGACATCCTATTTACATACTTCTTGTTTACTCGGAGTGCTGCCGCGAAATTTTTGTGAACAAAAAAGCATATGATCGAATTTTGCCCATGAACGTTTTGAGTAAATAATCTGTTTGTATGTGCACGATGTTCATTACATGTAGCTTAATACCAACCATTTGTTTTTAACAATTTAACATTTTATTTCATATGTGAGGTTTTACCAAGGCAACATCTTGAGTGGTGCTTCAACCCGTTGGGTTGATGGCACTTTTTATGCACCACTTTTGTGTCCAATAAAGTTTGATGTTGTATTTTACCGCATTATCACATCTGTACGTTGTAACAATATTGTGGCTGGGAGACCACTGTTTTGTAATCATTTATTGAACTGCATTTCTGGTCAAGCTTTCCATGATTCTGGTATGTCTACCAGCCAAATTCTTTGGTAATTGTTTTTATAAATGGATTTCATTTTTCGTCATTTAAATAAATGACAAGATTTTTACACTTAACATGTCTTCTGTTATGAATTTTGGAAATAAACATAGCAGCTATGTTGCCTTGGTCTGCCAGTAAAGTTTTAACATAAAACAGGTTATTACTAGTATTTTTTTTGTTTTGTTATTTTTTGCTATTGAAGCTCGTAGATCTATATAGATTATATGTGCTTCATGCATATTCATTGAAAACGTTAAATTTAATTCTGAAATCATAAAATACTGTACCAAATTTTTTCTGCAGTTTTTGTTTTCAAATTAATAATGAATACTTGCGTTTTTCACAATTTCTGCCCTCATATCCCGGACAACATTCTTTAACTGTTTGTGTTATAGGTTGTCTCTTGAGTACCCATTGACGTTGTAATCTGTGTTTACAAAATAAACCATACATGAATATTTAGTTTACAAAATCCTTAAGAGAGATTTTTTGATCATGAAGTAATCGAAACACAAACGCCATATTTTTAAAATTGTCAAAATAGTTATAATCATAATTATATAAGCAAAAACTGATCATGAAAAATGTCAAACCATGCGATCATTCATAATCCAATCTACATCGAATGCTAATTAATAGATTTTTATATTTCTATGAATTTCACAACATTCATTTACATTGAGTTATTTTATCTCAAATACCTATCTAAATCTATTCTTTTTGCGAAATAAACAACAATGAAGTCATATTTATTTGCTCATCTGATGTCTATTTTCATAAGACCCAACATTCTATTCAGCAAAGATACTGCAAAGTCGAGGAAGTTTAATTAAAATAAATATCATGCTTCATTAATCTTGTTTAGAGGATGATAAGAAAGGGTTCGTTTCGTGAGTATAATAGCCATGCCCATCGTCATAGGAAATGACGTCATCTGTCTATACAAAGAAAGCATAAGATTGCGCAGTTGCCTTGACAATGGGGGAAACCAAGCGGCCATACTTACTGGTCCCAACACCATTTGGATTGATATGTGACAATAGATTTACTGCAGTAGTTACTGTTACTGCTGATAGAATTACTGTTGCTGAAAGAAACATTATCAATAAAAAAATTGCAACAAATTATGTTAATTAATTATGTTTTTTTTTTTTGTACAAGAAGAAATATTCGTGGGAAACTTTATTACGATATATGTTGTTAATTGTAAATTGTACTTGAAATCAACTAGTGTACTTTATAAAGTACTAAAATTTTATTTATATTGGTCTACTGTGGACATTGTTTATTGTAATATATTTCCCATTCCACAATTTGTTCATTGTTTAACAAATACGACAAAAATCTTGGTGGAAGCATTAGTGGGTCGTTTCAAGTGCTCTGGCCATTTTAGTAGTATTAAGATTAAAACAAAGGTGAACTAAACTTAAAATTAGCTATACAAGAACCGTGTTCACGTATAAGAAAGAAACTTGCTTTATATATACCATTGCTATCACCGAACAAGGCTTTGATAAAGTGTTGAAGTTTTTCTGAGCTTGAACACATGTAGCACAAAATTGCCCTCCAAATGATTCTGAAGAGCGCGTGATTCATCGGTTTTATATTTAATTGAAATCTTCCAGAAATCGAATTTACGGCTCAAAAGTGGACCTCGTTCTAAAAACAGACAGAAACACTCAAACAATTAAAGAGAGTTCGAAAATGTTAAAGTAAAAGCTGCTTCTTCAGAAATTTGTAGGAGTAAAAAGTGGTGAAAAGGTTAATTAGAATTCATTTGAAAAATTACAGCGTGTGAAGCATTTTGAATGATTTATCGTTGTTATAGAAACCGAAGAATGTGAGTAATGAACTCTGCTTTTCTATTGCAGTGTTATCGGAAATGAGTTCTCAGCACGATGTGTGTTTTTACTTTCTGTTTCCTAGATACACTACATAATAATATATCCTAAAGGCGAAAGATTCTTTGATTATCTATCCTTTGTCTACCTCAGCAAAAATCAGATTTCCGTCAAGAATTCAGTACAGCTAAATATAAACCTTAACATCAAAACCGAATAAAAACCGACAGACAGAGAAAATTTGCGGGAAAAATTTAAGTCTGCAAGAAAACATAACAGGATAGAGTAAACATAGGGCTCTTTAGAGAAAATTGGAAATTTATATATATATAATTCCTGCAATATGTGTTCCAAATTAAATTCAGCAGCCCTTGAGTGCTTGTTCATGTTCAATTACGCGCTTTGTTTGTGTTGTCTGCTGGAACAGAAAAGACTTGCACAATTTTTCGTCAATGGCGCACAAATTGGTTAATGTTCGGCACTAGGTCAATGATTCCTTGACGATTTTCTTTGAAGCTTCCTGATCACCTGTAAAATTCCTTAGAAGCATCATAAAACCGCTATATACCCGATGGTACCAGCTAAAACTCTGTTTTAGGCTACCATTTCAAGTAGAGGGACGACACGTGCAGGATTTCGGTTTTTTAAAAGGATGAGATATCAATTAAGAAGACTGTCTTTTCATAATTACAATTTGATCACCCTTAATGTTGGAATCACACGATATCGATAATACAACGAAATAAAAGGTCCACATCGCAAATAGAAGAAAACTGCTTACTTCAGGTTTAAAAGACATATCACTGAGACGTTTATGGAAATACGATAACATTTTAGAACAAAGACAACACAATTCAAAATTGTACAGCAACTTCAAAGGGTGGATTATGAATGACATTTTAGTTGTTAACATTTGTTCTACAAATGTTTCGGGTTGCATCTAATTCAAAGTATACATATTAGGTTAAACTGAATCAATTTATGAATTATCAGATTTCTGCATGAAATATTAATGGATTTTTGTATGATTTAATAAATTTGAAATAAGAGTTTGCAAACGTACAAAACATGATTGGAAGTTCGGTTACGTAAGAAAGAGAATATAACAATTCTTTGTGAAGATAAGGAATTCCTTAAGGATTTAGGGCAATAAAAATGTTTTAGCTTGAGATAAGAGACTGGGTTTCATTCGACATGCTTAATTTATCTATTCTTAAGACCAGATTCGCTAAGCTAATTTTGTTTAATTAAACGATAAGCAATATTGGCTTTCTTGCTTTTCACACAGTAAATCTATAAAATTCAAATTGAGCGATAGGAATCCTCGAATTTATAACAAGCACACATCAGGTGGGTCAAAAACCGCCTGATATAAACAAATAAGCTTCAGAATCTCAGACTCGCAGTTTTTTGCGATAAGCTCACACAGTGCGAAAAAAAATATGAATGGTGCTCAGTTTAAATTTATATTTTTATTATTAAAAAACGAATAAAAAGAACAAGATTAGTATATCACATGTAATTGTCATATCAATTAAAATTTAATGATAAACATTACCTGTTTGTTGAAAACGCTCTGTAAGGATAATATACTGGTCTAGTTCGTAAATTCTGAAGTTGTGTTTTGTAATAAGTTGCTTTCACAACAGTTAAAAATGTCACTATTAAGACACAAGAGTAGGAATATCCCATGTTCTTCATTATATCCAAAAATTAAATAATAACACCTCGTTTTGTCCGTGATATGAACAATAAAAGAAATTATCTCGGAATGAGGATCCTTTTGGTGCCCTACTTCATTTCAACCGACAAGAGGAAATTGATTTGAATACATCCACCTTAACTGCAACAAGTTCGTTTTGTTGAATTCAATTTTAAAAATCCTTATCCAACAGCTTGAGACAATTTCATGACTTAAAACTAAAAAAGTATAATCGACGTCCGTTTAAACAAATAAAGTCCTCAGCCGACTCACTCGGGTTAAAATATGAGTAACGCAATACCACTGTACACTGTGTAGATTTTTGCTAAGTTCAAAGGTTACCGTAACGGCAAACTACCTACTTTCAGATCTAGCTTCCGTATCTACCTAAATCTTATCTGAAGTTAAATTGGCCTGCACTACATCGTAATTTCATCATTACTCTGTGTAAACTAAGGGTTTATTTTAGACATTCATTTTTAACGAAAATGCATTCCTGCTCGAAAGAAATTCTATGATGTTGAATGTCATTTTGATGCAATTTACAGACTAGATAAGACATGTTAATTTTTTTTAACTAAGGAGATTAATTTGAGATGATTAACTTTAACCTTCGGCTAGATTTCAAGATGAAGTAAACTTTTCGTACTAACACCAACGGTTCGAAAATTTCTTTTTCATTGAAGAAAAATTGCAACTATATTTTAACACAGGTCTTGAAATTCACCGATGTTGCATTTGCTATTCGTCTCATTTTTCAACGGCGGCGAAAACATCAAAGCTTTTTACCTTTGCACAAACAGGTATAACTTGTTAAAGGTTCAGTGCAGCGTGAAGATCGTTAATCTTACAATCCTATCAGGATTTGTGTGTTTTACTGCTAAATCTCGTGCGTGGAGTTAATTTCCCTGCCCCAGACTCTTTAATGGGCCGAGGATATGAAAATGTCAAGTGGAATCTCGTTTACTTTAAACTTGATCATCTATTTATCGTAATGGCCTTCCAAAAGAAAACTTTGACAGAAGTTCCTTGCACCTGTTACATGTATAGATATACGTAGAATTAATGTTGACGATTTCTTTAAAAAATTCTTTTCTTCATTTATTTAATGCGTTTTCAGTAGTAGACTGAAAAGGACAGACTACCTTATAACGCCCTTAAATTCAAAGTTTTCAACAATTTTTTTTATAGTCCCATAAGCAACAATAGACTTATAGTCTTTCACGAAATATGGAAATATGCTGATAACACACAGTATAATCAAACTGGTACCTTTTAAACAAGAGAGCTGGGATCAGGTGCCATGAAGAACAAGTATCCCCTATCGATTTCAAGGCTGTGTACTCCTTGCCATTATCGGGCAAACGGAAATATTTATCAATAGCCAATGAAGTGTGAAAATAATATCCTAACAATTTCTATGAAAAACGTCAGTCAACATTCGACTAGATAGAGGATACGTTGTATTTGCTCACAAGTCGTTGTGTCTAGCATAGAATTTGCAAAATGCATCAGCCATAGGATATGCAAAATGATGACTTTAAATGAGACCTCTGATATTTTTGTTTCATCAACTTATTTTTCAAAAGCTATAATAGCTTGCCTCGTTTTAGAAATTGTTCATACATACAGTGTACATGTAAAGCCTGCTCTTGTGTAGCAATCAGCTGAGAGACATAAACTTTATATGCAGTTGCTAATGTCATATTTCTACATGAATAAGAGAAGATAATGATGTGTGAGTTTCTGTGGCATCTTTTTTATTTGGAGTTCAAAAGGATACATTAAATCAAAAGAAGTGAAAATTGACAAAAAGAAGTCGATATATTTTAACCTTGAATTGAGGTCCACAGCAGGAAACTTCTTCTTTCATAAAATATAGGAAGATAACGAACAGCATTCAAGCTCAAAAAAGTCCACAATCGGAAATATCCGTGGTCAATTCAGTGTGTAAATAATGGACTAACAATTAGTATGAAAAACGCCAGTCAGCGTTTGACTCAATGATAAATTGTATTCGCTGACGATGTCATTGTATCTTACAATAATTTACCTGTTTTAGAAATTGTACATAGTAGAGCATGTTCTTTCGTATCGAATCAACTGAGGTATATATAAACTCCGTATGCAGGTGATGAAGATATTGTTGTATAAGTAAGGGAAGTTGACGATCGAAAAGTTCAAGTCATCAAGCTTATCATAGAGCTTGGTTGTTAGATTAACATTAACGTCTTTTTCAAGTCAAATAACCAAAATATACGTATAATATGAATCAGATATGTCAGGCTCAGTGATATCTTTTATTTCAAGCTCACTGTGATATATCGTATCGACATAAGAATGGAAATAACAATTGTTAATTGACATTACGTCATCGATATATCTAAATGTTGAGTTGAAGGCCACAGCAAGTGTTATTTTTACGTTTAAGATTTTGAACAAATTCTGCATCATATGAATGTAAAATGATTGAATAAATTGAATAATTCTGCTTCATATTCAGCAGAATATAACATGAGGCCTGCCACCTGTAGTTTTGGGCTGCATATTCAAGTAGTACACATAAAAATTCTACATTTTATAACAAGGCGCTGGGAATGACTGGTCAACAGGGATGCTTACTGCTTTATAGGCACCTGGTCTTACAACTGATGTTTTTGGAGGTTCAGGTTTGCTCTGCTTATTCGCATTGTTTAAATATACTTTGAACCTGAAAACAGTTCGTTAACTTCCTATTTCATTTTGGCATAAAAAAACTAGCTGTTACTTCAAAGAGTTGAAAATCATTGATCCGCTCTACAACGAAATGTACTCATTAAGGGTACAGTGAATGTTTATATAATCAATTCTGTAAATATTTATTCGTCCTATCTCCAAACTCCTTTAGATCCATCATACCATGTCTTGTTTTTATTTATGCCCTCCAAACAAAATATCAGCACTGCAATGATAGTGTATAAGAAAGTAGGGCCATATTTTGTTATCATTGAAATGATTCTTAGCATTTATCAGAACCAGTAGACATCTCAGGATGTTGGCACAGCGGAAGCATCGCAATTTACAAACTGTTTAGAAGTCATACAATTCTACATTCATTTGTCTATCAGAAGCATGAGGCCAATGACCATCATTTTTCTGTACAAAGAGTATTGGTTTGCTTAAGTTATATTTCCTTGGTATGTAAAATCAGTGTTTGTACTGCCAAGATACTACATCCATGAGGTGTTTTCATCTTTTAGAATATAATTGATGTTCTACTGTAGATGTGCAAAAAGGATTTGGAAATTTCATTCTTGGGGTAATTGGGGATTTTATAGTTCCTAGAAAACCTCTCTTTTTAAATACGATTGGCAGTGTCCTTTAGAAACCCTTTTACCTTATATATAGAAGATTCGTATGTACAATATATATCTGAAATACTGCCGACTTGTCGTGAAACACTAATCAATCAATTTAAGATTTGTTTTCAAAAAAGTTATGTTCCATTAAATGTTTAAACAGTTAAATGAAACGTATGGAGATAATAACTAACAGACTGTAAAACTTAGAAGTCCTTTCAAACAAAACAAATCAAGTTAGAGCAGAGCTAACAAGGACCTCTAGAACATAGAGGTGGGATCATGTGCCATGGAGGAGTGAGCGTCTCCTGCCGATTGATCACAAACTCCGTGTGCTCCTTGTCTTTATCGGGAAATAACAAGATTCTATAGACAAATTTCTGAGTAAAAAAATGTCTAACAATAAGTATGAAAAACGTTAGTCAGCATTTGACTTAATGATAAATTGTATCAGTTGACAAGTTCATGGTATCGACCTAAGCACTAACAAAATGATGACTTAAAACAAGACTGTTCGTATTCTTGTTTCATTAACTTGTTTTTCAGTGATTCACCTCGTTTAAGACATTGTTCATACGTAGAACATGCTTTTGCGTATCGAATCAACTGAGAGATATAAACCTTGTATGTGCAGGTGATAAAGGTAGATGTATATGTTGCATAAGTAAGGAAGGTTGACGATTAAAAAATTGAAAAGTTAAAACCATCACGTTTATCACAAAGCTTTGCTGTTATGTTGCCATTAACGTCTTTTCTAGTAAAGTATCCAAAAATGAAACAAATTTCAGATTTTATTACCTGATTTTTAATAATTGTTCGAATTTGAAACATGTATATTCATTTGAGCTATGGAATTATTATAACAATTGTGTTTCTTTGCTTATTGCACAGGTATATGTATGCAGAAGAGTAAATTTTCTCTTTAATTTTTTTTTATACAGTTAATTATTTGCTGGCCCACTGAGGACATTTTTTAACAGTTTCAGTTTATTGCCGAAAAACACATAAAATACATTGACTTTTTTGTACATAAAAACTTTAAGTCAGTGTTCACAGAAGATTTCATTTGGTATCACAACTCTGTGATAAACCATGATCTAATTTACCACATCACAGGATTCTATTAGCAAGGCTGTTACATGGATGTTCAAATGTCTGGTGATTTTTTATTTCATTTTGAGATAATTAACGGATTTGTTTTACAAAAAGTTATGCCATTGATTCTAGAAAAAGTCATTCCTTATAGTTTAAATTCATCTAAGCTCATATTATATTTCTACGATTTAATGATTTTTAATTTATTTTTTTTTACGGCAAATTATACAAAAAAGATAATTTTTGCTCTATTTAAAAAAATGGAAAAATACACAGTCAAATAGAACTTGAAATACGTTTATCGTTATAAATGGTTCGAATCGATCCCCTGCCATTTAAATTTTCACTGTCTCAATCATCTTCTCTTACTTTTAGCCAATACATGTACTCTATATGATAAATGATGAAAAGGATTTTGGAATTAAGAAAAAAAAATCTGAAGCTAATTGACGACTGATGGAGTTACCCCCTACAAAATCCTGGTTCTCAGAACTTCCAGCAGCTATTATCAGCATTAAGAGAGAAATAAAGTCCCCAAGACTTGGATAAAGGATTCGGATTTTTCATTTTAATTTTCTGAAAATTGACGTCGAGATTTTGATTGGCTTTTATCGAGTATATCAAACAGAATATATATAAAAATACTTAAAATAGTGGTCTTGTTCACCTGATCAATTTAAGCTCATTCTAATATATCAACAAACGGTTTAATTAAGATATCGGTTTGTTAAGTATGATCTGATTCTCCAAGCAAATCATGCCTATAAATTTAAGAAAGAAGTACTAATGTGAAAGCTCTTCATGAAAAATGAGCCTAAGCAACTTCATGAACTGTAAAACAAAGTGAAGAGAGCAAAGATTTTTCTATGTGAAGAGACATAACTCAAACATAGATAACGCACATGTTACACTCTTTGTATGTCAGATCTCACTTTACATCGCAGAGCTTTTTTGCTGTCCATTGTGTGAAATGTTCACATATTGATTTGTTTCATCCTACTAACATACAATGTACTCTACCATGGACACTTAATAATAAAAAAAGCCTCAAGTCTCTCATTTTCGTGAAAAAAAAAACCTTGCAAAATTCAAAGGTTTAAATATCTTTAAAAATATGACGAATAAGACAGAAAAAATCTATAGGTTCGACAAACAAGTGAAAAATCAAACTTCAATTATAGACGAATTTTCTTTGATATTTCAGTTAAGATTAATGTATATTTTGCTAAAATTTGTACAATTTGCAACAATTTCACAAGTGCATCATTGTTTAAAAAAAACCTGCACACACCAAAAGATGACGATGATGACCATTTTTACAGAACATAATTGTTTCATAGACTGAACGTTTTTTTTCTTCATTTTTTGAAAGTTTGTCTTCAAATTATGTGTACATGTATATAAACTTTCTATCCAACAAAGACGGAATGTTAAATTCTAACATAGATAAGAGAAAAAAACCTAATGATTTCCTGAGTTTTTAATCTTTTCATACTTCCCATTTATTCTGTGTTTGCAAAGATACAAAAATCCTGCTAGAATAAAAAGTCATTTATTTCTCCAGAACTCAGGGATTGTCTTATCAGTGTCAATGTCCTCATTTCTTAAAGTACAAACAGTATACATGTACTTCAAACTAACTATCTCGGAGAACTAGCAATGTATTCTGAAATTATAGTTTTAAAGCTGCTAATTCTGTTTGGAACCGTTGCTGTTTTTGGTAACTGCCAAGGTGAGAGAAAGAGAGAGGAGAACCATGGGATAAAAGACAATTTGGAAGATTATGTGAAGGCGCTTGTGGAAAAAGAAGTAAAAACCCAGTTAAAAGACATTCTAAAAGTGCAAGAGGAAAAAATCCGTTCGATGGAAATCCAAATTCAGAGAGAAAGACTGTACCGGCGTTATTTAGAGAAGAACTTAATAGCTTTGAAGAAGAAGAAGAATGTCCAAGTCTCCAAAGACGTTTCTGAAGTTCATAAAATGGGAAGGCGTTACTCAGATTATGCCTTCACTAATCACGTGAATGAAAACTATGAAGAACGAGATGCTGAGACAACAACGCAACGAGAACAAGAGAGGTCTAGCAAAAGTATAAGGCTAATAGGTTAGCAAAGTTTGTTTTGAATTTGTTTCAAAGACATCTTTTAGAAGTTACATACAATACACAAAGCTAAAAATACATTCTTCTTACGGATGCAAACAAAAGAAGATGGGTTGAGCCTATAAATCTAGATTCAATTAAAATTGCTGTATAGCTACGATTAGTTGAACTGCCTTGACCAGGCACTGTTTCAATTTTATGTTGTTAATTATAGACTTTTGAGCTTGAATACTAATCATTATCTCCATATATTTCATTCCGCAAAGAACGTGACGATTCGAAAGATGTCGTGCATATGCAGACTTTAAAATGCTATATTGTAACTAGGGAAACGAACGTGACAATGTTTAGAAAAAGTACAGTAAAATATTCAAAAATTAATCATTGCATTTGAAATGAGATTTTAAACTTTTATAACAGTTACAGGATCCTTTAATTTAGCTTGTTAGTCATGTATGTTCTTTTTTAATAGGAGGACAGGAGAATAGTGCCCAAAGTACTGTTGCATTTTACGCTTACATGAGCAAAAACCTCAACAATCCAAGTGCAGGTCACGTCCTTGTGTTTGATAACGTTAAGACAAATGTTGGCTCCGGCTACAACCACCATGATGGAATATTTACTGCACCTTCCCAAGGTTCCTATGTATTCTCATGGACTATTGCTTCGTGGTATCATTCCTACGTATATACAGAATTAGTAGTAAATTCAGCTGCTTTTGGAAAGATAATCACAAATAGTCAAGATATATCAGATGAACATGTTGGAAGTAGCGTCGTTGCTGTCGTCTTAAACCCCGGCGATGTGGTATACATTCGTATTATTTCTGCAGGCGGTACACTGGCTAGTACAAGCAATATTTTTTCTTCTTTCAGTGGATGGAAGTTAAACTAAATAATAAAATAACTAAATGATAAAATCATCCCGAAAGCAAATTAAAGTACATGCATTGATCTGGGAGACCCAAAATAGTTGTCAAATTAAAAAGTAAAAAAGGAGGTGCACAATGGTATTATGTCATAAAGAATCTGTGAAAGTATCAAATTTTATTTAGTGGTATAGGATGAGTTGTGGATAACAGATGGGAACCCTTCAATATTAAAGAAGAAAATGGCAGAGTCAATGTTTTGCGATAGGAAACCCGATATATGTTTCCGATCAAAAAGTAAAATAGGAGTTGCACAACGGCACTATTTAACAAAGAATCCGTGACAGTCTCTTTGAATTTCATTCAATGGCATAAGAGGAGTTGCAGATAAGAGAAGGGTACCCCAAAGCGTAACAATTACGGACGGATATCCCGATCACAATATACCCTCCAATTTGTAAGCGGGTTATAAAAATCTCAAAAGGGACGTTACACCAAAAAATACAAAACAAAATGATAAGAAAAAGTAAATACACCCAACTTTTGCTTTCATCCTAATATTGATTCATTAATGACTTCAAACTGTGACAAAGTGCGCGATTACAAGTAATTGTGTTTACTTGACATTCTATCATAAAACGAACAATCAGTTTTGTAGTTGGGAGTAGAGTTGGACTACTAGATTTTATCTAAATTCAGCAAAATATCAATTTTTTCAGAGATTTCTTTATTGTTTCAAAAGTAACGGAAGTCAATTTTGAATTTTTAAGCTAAAAACATGTGTCTTATTTGCAATGGTTAGAAGTTTGAAAATAATTACAGATGAAAAATTCAAGCACATCTTTCTGTGTTCCATGAAAACAGTTTAAGATTTATACTGCATCGAATTTTGGCTGACTTGTTTCATTACTACGTAGACCTTTGTTTTTGTACTTAATTTGACTGCATTTAACAAAGGAATGATCTATCTACCTGATCAGTGCATAGGACACACAGCAGATGTGAAATCTATGCAGATAACGAACAATATTCAAGCTCAAAAGTCCATTCAAACAATACAAATCAGGCGCAGAGCAAAATTGGACCTCTAAAACATTAAGGATGGAATCAGGCGCCATGGTGAAGTAATCAACACCTCCTCACAGTTAAAATGATTGGTAAATAGGGGATACTTACTCCTCTTAAGGACCTTGTCCAACTTTTCGGGTCCATTTTTATGTTTCTTCAGAAATTTGCATTGTTTGTATTGCTTTGAGAGATCAATAATTGATCGTTATCTTCACCTCATCTTTCAATTTGTCCATTGAACCATTTCCAGACACCATTTATTGCTGTAAATATTGATGTCCATGACTTATTCAATTGCAATAAGGTAACAAAATATTATTCGACGTACAGTCTCAACCGACAACTCCATAAAAAGATTGAAAGAAGTGTAGACGATCCAATTCGATTCGACTGATTTGGTTAAATCCCAAGTGTCAAAAGATTATTAATAGAGGGGTTCATAATTTCTAACAGACAAATGGTTATGAGATAGAATCAACTAACAGTCCTCAAGAGGTGAAGTTATACACCAAAACCCGGAGATCTACATACGGATGGAAGCACATGAAAGCATATTTAGAAAGTGTTGGATACCAAAAACAGGTTTTGAAAATTAATCACTTTTAAATAATCCGACTTTAATTGACAGAGAAATGATTTTCTTGAGATGACATTAATTATCTCTGCCCAGGACCTTTAAGAGTGAGTTAAGGTTAAGCATCATTTTAAGAGTTCAAGAGCGTTACATCACTTCTCTATCTTAATTACAAATTTAGTGAACACTTAAGATGCTTAGATAAAAATAATCACTATCAGAGATGACTTTTATCGACAAACATGTCAGAATCAGTCCTGCTTTAGTGAAGTATGGTTTATTTCATGGTTGTAAATGCAGGAAGGAAACACTTTGAAATTTGAATTGATGGCAAATATGCTACAGAATTACGGTTGTTTTTATGCATATTTAGTTATTGATGAAACATATGGAGATAACGAACAGTATTCAAGATCAAAAGTCCATAAAACAATACAAAATAGGATCAGAGCAAATACGGACCTCCAAGACATTTTGGGTGGGATCAGGTGCCATGGAGGAGTGAGCATCCCCCTGCCAACAGGTCACACCCGCCGTGTGTTCCTTGTCATGATCGGGAAATAACGGAAAAATCCGTCGTCAAATCAGTATATAAATAATGGAATAACAATTAATATGAAAAACGTCAGTCAGCATTTGACTCATTGATAAATTGTATTTGCTGACAAGGTCATTGTATCGACCATAGAACTTACGAAATGATGACTTTAAACGAGACTGTTGATATTCTTATTCTTGTTTCATCAACTTCTTTGTCAATATTAATTAACCGCGTTTTAGAAAATGTTCATACGTAGCTAGAGCATGCTCTTGCGTATCAAATCAACTGAGATACATTAACTCCGTATGCAGGTGATGAAGGAATATTGCTACATAAGTAGGGGAAGTTGACGATTGAAAAGTTAAAGTCATCACGTTTACATGTATCATAGAGCTTGGTTGTTAGATAAACGTCTTTTTTCAACTAAAATATTCAAATATGAAACAGATGTGCCAGACTCTGTGGTATCTTTTATCTCAAACTCACCAGGATATATCGCATTGACATAAGAATTGAAATTACAATTGTTAATTGTTGAAAGCCACAGCAAGTGGTTTTTTTTTTCACGCATAAGATTTTGCACAAATTCTGCTTCAAATGAATACAAAAATAGGTCTGGGCGCAATTGGTAACCATCGGAATTCCAATATATTGTTGGAAAACCTGGTCACCAAAAACAACATAGATATTGTCAATCAGAAACTCAAGCATATTTTTGATGTCAACTTCAGAGTACTTGTGTGTGCAATCAGAATGTTTTTTAACCAAATAATTTTGCAAATGACCAGTGACAAGGGAAGTAAATTTACGAGTTTCATTTTTATTGAAAAAAGCACCTGTCAATGATATCGAAATGCTTTGACTTTAATTTATCATGTGGAATGGTAGTGTATAAAGTTGAAAAATCGTAAGTTTCAATGCTGTTGATTTTGGAAAAATATTTTGATTTCAAATGATCCAAAAGTTCCTTGGAATTTTTAAGTATCCACATCTAATTTACACCACTTCTTGAATATATTGTTGCACGGTAGTCTTGAATTTTCTCCTTCACTAATACTACTGGTAATATCTTACCGAGGAGTAAAGAAAGAGGATTGGTTGAACATATACTGGAACCCGCTATGTATCTTTGTTTGTAAGGGTTCTTATGAAGTTTCGGAATATAATATATGTATGGTAGTTCAAAATCATTTTGGTGCTTTGGGATATAAAAAATATTAAAACTGACTTATGATTTTGAAGAATTTCCTCCTTAGAAAAGGAACTATGAGTATAAGTTGGATTACCACTTGTAGAATTAAATCAAAGTTCTTTTAAAATACAATTTATATAATAAACCTTTATACAAACAAAGATAAATAAGTAAGCAATCAAAACAATGATATGCAACGTGTTTATGACAGAAAGACTTTAGCAAGACGACGATGCTCGGTAATTATCATTTCTATAATCATCTACAATTCTACATCATGTTGCTATAAAGATGTTATGTTAGGCCATGAAAACATTTTGGTTCTATGTTTACTGTTTAGCGTCCTCTTGCGCCTTGGTGTTTGATAACCCATGTCAGATAAAAAGAATATCACTATGTGTCCAAACATTGATTATGAACTTGTTCTATCTAGCCTAGTGTTATTATTCGGGATTTTGGATATCCTTTCACGAGAAGCCCTTTATTTATTAATGAATTCATCTAAAGTGTGTATAGCGATTCAAAAGCTTGTGAAAGGAGATACAACTCAGCGAACTCAATAAAGAAATTAACCCATTCTTATTCAATATAACTTCGAGAGAAAATTCTTGGAGACCATGGTTTGTCATACCATTATATGCGCTTGCTAGGAAGAAAGACAGACTTCAAGTCTAGAGGCTATCCATACTTTACCAAAGTTGCCTACATTGGCTGATCAGAGCATAGTCAAAGCTACTTTACTCACTGTCCGTCCTGAATACGATACATGTAGCATACAGTGAGTATAATGCTTGAAGGACAAATGCATGCATTTATATCGTCCGTTCTGAAAAAGGTATGATAAAATGGGTGTAATGGATGACTTCCACAGAAATAAGGCATGATAAAGTGGGTGCAATTTTTTAAGGCGTTCTACATGCATGTAAGCGATTCGTCCTGAATAAGGGCATCCTACAGTACTAGTATAATGGGTGATCTGAGGAGGCAAATCTATTAATAAATTACTAATTAATGATAGTATGTTCGTTTCATGTGTCTAGTTGTGTAAGCATTAAGATTTGTATGAAATTAATTTTGTAAGCTTGAGTTAGACTGCATTCGTTTAATTTGGCAGACTACAAGATTAATAACAGTTAGTTTCAATAATTTTTTCTGAAAACCCCAAACCCTAGAATTTTCAAGGAATGATCAATTTGTTTAATATAAATACACATTCGTTAACCTAGTGAATCCTACCACTTGGTTTCTACATAAAAACAAATTAGTTAATTTCAGAATAGTTTGAGACACAAAACGACTGTGTTTTTCTAAATCAGTCTGAATTAGAAAGTGATATTAAAATCTTCATGTGCATATAATAATTCTTGTAATGATCACTTGTATTATAAAATAATCAAAAGCTAATTTGGATTACTTTTAAAATGTACAATAGCTAGAAATACTTAATTAAACAAGAGGCCCACGGGCCTTATAGGTCACCTGAGCATTATGCAACAACTTTCCAGTTACAGTGTATTGAATTTGATTCATGTTTTAAGCCAGATGCTATATGGCATTCACAATTTTGAAAGGGCACCATTGATCATCATAACAATAAACTTAGCAGTTGCTTAGCTTGGTTACTGAATACCCATAAGCAGGGTAGGGGAAC